ATGAAGGTCTAAAATTTCTTCTAAAAGACATAATTCTTCATTACAAATGAAGGAAATATACATTCCATTTGGTGTGACATGTCTACAGGAAGTTTGCGGCCTTTTCTTCCGAAAACTCTCCTTAGAAAAATATTTGACACTCTGCACTCAATGTCACAAGCAGGTATAAAAGCAATCTGCAGGTTAATTAGAAATAATGCATCTGGCCTGGAATCAATTGCGATAAAAGGGATTGGACACGTCATTGGATTCTGTGTCAAAAATCCAAAATAATGCGACACACTAAATCAGCTCCTACTTTTTCCCCCGTTCCTGATACTCGATTTGATTATGTCCATATCGACATCATCGGACCATTCTCTCCCTATCATGAATATTACTATCTCCTTACCTACATTGATAGATTCACCCGCTGACCTGAAATAATTCCCTTTACTGATATCAGTGTGAAATCAGTTGCACAGAGTTTTATAAATGGCTGGGTCAGTAGATTTGGTGTTCCCACTACCATCACCACAGACAGAGGGACACAATTTGAATCCTCACTTTTCGCTTTCCTAATCAATCAGCTTGGTGCAACCAGAATTTATACAACCGCTTACCATAATGAACCTGGCATGATAGAACGGCTTCATCGTTCTCTGAAGGTTTTGTGGCCTTGTATGGGCCAGAAATAAAGACACAAGCGAAGAATTGAGTTAAACAAATATATTAACAGAAACAGTAATACAAACATATACAAACGAGAGTGTTACAGCAAAAATGTTCGGTCTGATTGTCAGAGCTGACTGCTGGAAACTTCACTCTCCAAAAGGCAGTACCTGCTCCTATTTATAGCTGGGAGATGCCATGCGTATTTGGGTAAATTACCATAACAGAAGGAATTCCTAAAAACAGCAATGCATTATACTTCTTGGCTTCAGAATATTCGTTTAATACTTTTAGGCCCAAGAACAGCTGTAAAATCTGATTCACAGAGTTCTGCAACAGAACTTGTATATCTCACACCTTCACGTCTACCAGGAGAATTAATAATTAAAACAAATGAACTACTCTTAGGCCTGCTTCATTTGAGGATCTGTTGAGATTGAAAATGTCTCAAGTGATTTCACCATCTCCTAGACAATCGATTCATCTAACATATGTGCCAGAATCACTCAAAAACTGCAACTTTGTGCGAGTAAAAGACAATGCAACCAAACATCCCTTACAACCACCTTACAGAGGTCCTTACAAGGTAGAATAACGTACAGAAAAAACAATTCATAATTGTCAGTAATAGTAGACAAGAGATTATTTCCTTTAATCTACTAAAACCGGCAAATGTAGAAAATATTGATGATGAATCATTAAAAACCACCAAAGGCAGATGACCTACAATTTCAAAGAGCGGTCATCATATAAGATTGCCTAAGAAAGAATGTTCTTATCTAACAAAATGAAAATTCTCTTTCTTTAGATTGTTGTACAACTGTCTCACTTGAAAGTGGGTACTATACTCGCCATTAACATAATAGGTTGAACATCTACCGGGATTTAGCATTGGCAGCCACAATCTTAACAACATAAGATATGAATCTGTCTATATTTCTGAGATGACGTATTATGTAAATTATTTACATTATTCGGACTATTGTCCTCATCTTTATCACCATATTTATTACAACGTTTCGGCCTTTCAGTATCAGTCTATATTTCTGAGATGAGGTATTATGTACACTATTTACATTATTCGGACTATTGTCCTCATCTTTGTCAACATATTTATTACGTTTGGGCCTTTCAGTATCTGTCTATATTTATGAGATGAGGTATTATGTACACTATTTACATTATTCAGACTATTGTCCTCATCTTTGTCGCCATATTTATTACAACGTTTTGGCTGTTGTACGATCCGGTCTTTTTCAGGTGGTTGGAATGTCAAACTGAACATTTTATTTCGCTTACTGGGGTAGACTGTTCCAGTTACACGTGCCATGTCTAATGGATGTCAGTTATCAGTTATCTTCTGTTAATTCCCCTCTGAAAGTTCTCCACTGCCTTAACCAGGTATTGAACTCACACTCTTTGGGTCCTGTAACTGGATCTAACTAAGAGTAGAGAACTTTCAGAGGCGAATTTAAACTCCTGTTTAAAAGACTGGGGAGGAGTGTGAACCTTTTACTGCTATTATTCCATTTAGTCACTTTTTATTCAAGTTAGTTTCTACCAAGACTACTAATAAAGGATACTCAATCTGAAATTGCACTGTGAGGTTAACTTACAAACTCATTGCACAAGTGGGTAGGCCTGTGTCAAAGTGAATGCTTATCCTGGTGCAAGACTTACTGTCAAAAGTCACATAGTGGGATACTAATGTGTGAAAAAAATTTGTTACCAAAAGGACCGCAGTAGGTGCCGATTTCTTTGCTACTTGACACTGGAGAACTGGTACTGTTTGTTTTTTTAAACTTGTTAATGAATTTATAAATTATAAACTGAAATGAATACACAATGATTTCCACAAATGAAAAACAAAGAGAAGAAAATTAATTTTCTAATTCAGCCAAGAACACAATTATCAAGAAACTCACAGTTTATCATTAATATTTAAAAAAAAAAAAAAAAAAGGATCCTTATTAAAATTACCATCAACTTTAGCTCAAATCTTAATTTAAAACATAACAATTTTTTACTAAAATATTACGTGAACACTTGAGTTACAATCACAAATTATTATTCAATGAAGCATTACCTAGCATTATTAAATTTTTCTGGTGATACTTTCACCGTAATTTCCCTTATTTTGTTGACATGATTAGTATTAGTAATATTGATATTATATTAGATGAAGCATTCCTCATTTTGGACTAGGATTTCTTTCATCTTTATTTCAATTGCTTTATTTCCACTTGTAGTATTAGTAGTAGTAACATTATCTGGAATTTTGATTAAATAAAGCATTGTCAAACCTTATTCATTTTTCACTAGGATTTCTTTTATTTTCATTTCAATTGCTTTATTTCCACTAGTAGTATTAGTAGAAGTAATATTATCTTCAATTTTGATTAGCTAAAGCATTGTCAAGCATTCTTCATTTTTCACTAGGATTTCTTTTATCTTCTTTTCAATTGCTTTATTTCCACTTGTAGTATTATTAATAGCACCCATCTAGTTATTAATCAGTCTGAATGTTGTTTAACTTTGGTGTTTCAACACAATATGACTGTAATTATTAGTATATATGTGAGGGACGAGGTTACATCAATAAAATTTCTTTCATCTTCATTTCAATTGCTTTATTTCTACTTGTAGTATTAGTAGTAGTAGTAATATTATTGGGAATTTTCCATAACATTCTCAACTATTATTGATTTTTATCCTATCTTATACAAATATTTCTCATATGTAATTTCAAACTAACAGAAAACCAACATTAACATCAGCCACACAAATATGGTCAGTTACTCAACAAAACTAATCAAAAGAAATTTTACAAACTCAAAACAATTGATTGGAAAAAGCATTTCACTCATTTGAATATTTGACTGTCTTTAACTTTCAACAAGAACAATGTATTAATGAAAACCTTAAAATGAGAATATATTAAATAAAATAAAATATAATGAAATGAAATAAAAATAAAATAAAATAAAATGAGAATATATTAAATAAAATAAAATGAAATAAAATAAAATGAAAGAAAAAGAAAATAAAATAAAATAACATGAGAATATGTTAAATATAAAAAAATTTAATAAAAAGAAAATGAAATGAAAATAAAAAAAATTTAAAAAATAAAATAAAATGTAATAAAAATAAAATAAAAAAAAAAAATGAGAATATATTAAATAAAATAAAATAAAAATGAGAATATATTAAATAAAATAAAAAATAAAATAAATTGAAATAAAAATAAAAGGAGAATATATTAAATAAAATAAAATAAAATAAAATAAAATGAAAATATATTCAATACCAGAACTGTAATAATTCAAGGACACAGATAAGGATTAATAAGCATTAATAAGGAAAAGGTGTTACACACGGGATATGACTATCTCTTAAATATTCAAAACTATTTTACTTTGAATGTAACTTCTTGAGAAAGATTTGGAATTAATGTAAATGAAATTTTGAAAAATTTTTTCTGAGATTTTAATTTTATTCATATTTTTTTTTAAAACTTTTCTTTTCTTTTACATTTAAAGAATTTCTTTTTCTCATTACATTTAAAATTTGTAACAAGGATTATTAACTTCTATTTACTAAAATTGAAATTTTGAAGAAAAAAGGGAAAAATGAGATTCCCAAAAAAACTTTTTTTCTATGATTTGAAGACTCTTTATCAATTTTATTCAGTATTTCTGATTTTTCATTGTTTATTTTGGTCATAATATCAACAGACAAAAAATTATGTTTCAACAAACAATTGAAATGGATAGGAAAAATAATTATTTAAATGTGTTTTTTTTTTTTTTGATTAATTACATTATCTGATTTTCCAAAGACTTTAACGAAAAAAATGAAAGATTTATTTTTTTTTTTTTTTCAAAGATTTACAAATGTAAAATTAGATTTGAATTTTATATAACATGGCACTGAAACTGAAAGATAAAGAGTTCGTTTCAATTAGATTGCATTAATCCAAAAAGAATGGTCTACTTTTTTTATAATTAAAAAGCTTTTATGTGCTGTGAATTTATGAATATTTATTGTAATAAAATGACAATTTTTTAAATAAATGTGAAAAATTTGTAATTTAGAGGTAATGTTCAATTTGAAATATAATTCAATGTTTTTAAAAAAAGCTTACATTAAAAATAATTGAAAATATAAAAACACCTTTAAATCTTTTTTTAAAACACATTAATAAAAAATAATTCCTGAGTGGTTTCAAAGATGGAACCAAAAAAGAATTTTATGAATAAAAAATTTACTTTATTAATTTCCAAATTTTATAATTTTTCTCAAATATTTTTTAATTTCAAAATTCCAAGATAGATTTAAGATTTCACTAATAGATAGAATTAATAGATAGATAGATAGATAGATAAACTAGATAATAGATAGATAATATATAAATATTGCATTTTATTAAAAAAATGAATAATAATTTAATTTGCGAAAACATCTATAAAGGAACTAAAAGCAGTTTGTCATTTTAAATTTATCCATTTTTGCTCATCATTCCAATTCTTAGGTAACATAGATGGTTGACATCAAAAAAAAAACAATAATCATGAAATGCCATAAAGAAATACTAGTGAAAATGAATAATAATTGCCAAATATTCATCTTGGAAGGTTAACCAAATGACATTTTATCATTTCAATTTACGCTATAGAAGTTTCACCATACGGCTATTATTTTAACAGCATTAAATATTTGGATGGGATTTAATAAAAAAAAAAAAAATGTAATTAAGATGAAAAAAATACATTTTTTAAAAAATGAATTTAATTGAAATGCATATAATAAGATAACATCATTTTATGTTTCAAAAACTAAAGAATTTGTCACTTGGTTTTATGGATATTTTTGACAATAACATTCAATTTTTAATTGATATGCTCCCAGTAACCTAAACTAAACTAAAATAATATCTGAATGAAATCTTTAGCTAGTTCATGTGTCAAATAATTTTGATTTAATTTTTTTTTTTTTATAATCTTTTTTAGATTTCATATTTCTTTTTCCTTTATGTATATAATGATTCCAAATTGTTACTGTAAGTTTGAAAATTGAAATGTTGAATATCTGTTTAATTTCATTAAAATTTCAATTTCATTGCATTTGACTAATATATCATGTGTATTTCAACTATGTGCATTTTGTGTGTATTTAAACACTTTTTCTTTTGTTTTACATTGATTTGGATAATGGCCAATGAAAGTCCTTTTTTATTAAGATTTTTTAAGATTTTTTTTTTTTATTAATTATTGACGTCAATATATTATATTGATTTATATATTTATATATATATATAATGTATATATATATTTATATTTTTTATTTATATAAATATATTTATATATGTGTGTGTGTGTGTGTGTGTGTGTGTGTGTGTGTGTTGAAAAAGATGTTGTCTTGATTGTACATGTTCAATTGAATAATTGTAAACATATATTTTTTTTTTTATATTTAAATAACAGTGAATGAAGTAGTTAAAAATGTTTGTTGAAATTTTGTAAAAAAAATTATTAACATGAAATCTAGATTCCAAAGATAAATTTCCATAAAAAAAAAAAAAAAATAAAATTGTCATCATTGGCTCTGTAAAAATTCAATAAAGTTTACTAATTTGTTCAATTGTAAAATTTCCATATATATATAAAGATTTGGGTTTTATGTTTAGTATATATATATATATGTCATATTTTTTATCAATCAATTTCTATGGGAAATTTGCTTAAACATTTAATTAAAATAATGATGTTTTTTAAGTTCATATAATTGTTTAAGCATATAATTGAGCATAGTATTGGGATTTATTTCTTTTGAAGATTTAATTTGAATGGTAAACCGGGCTTGATAATGAGGGAGTGTAGCCTTCTGCATGGGCACAGTTTAATAAAAATTTTTTTTATTTTTAAAACAGTAATCTTAAAATATTCTTTTTTATCACACATGTCAATGAAGATTACACATTTTATATTATATATATATATATAATATATATATATATATATATATATATATTAAATATAAAAAATTATTTTCAATGTAGTTTGTTCTTTTATTTTAGAATGTTTTAATCCTTTATTAAAAAATGTCATAGCTGTAACAATTATATCATTTTTCAATTAAAAAAACGATTTTCAAATTCAAAAAAAATTCATCATTAAAAAGAAAATTAAAAAAATAAGTTTTATATTAAATAAATATTTTTAGTTTTTTAATGGTTTTTTGTGTAAAAAAATTTGAAACTATTTCTTCTAGCCTGAAAATTTTGAACATAAAATGTATTATTTTGACTTTTAAAAATGGGAATATGTTTCATGATCTTATATATAAAGTAATTTGTTTTAAGTTGTATTAATTTTTTTTTAAAGGCAAATGTTGTTTTGATTTCTTTCAGGTGTTTTGTTCTGTTAAAAATATGAAAATAAAAAAACTAGGTTTTTTAACATTTTTTTAAAAAAAATAAAAAATATAACTATTCAATTTTTTTTTTAAATTTTTTTTAAAAAACAGTAAAATTTTATCACAATTTAAAAAAAAAGAAAATTTAAATTTATTTATCCTTAAAAAAAATTAAATTCTCTTTGATGAATATATATATAAATTTTTTCTTGAAAAATAAAAAATTTATTAAATTTTTTTTTTATAAATTGTCTTTTTTTTTTCAATTATTTTTTTAATTAATTATGAAAATAACTAATATTTTAATTTTTATAAAGTGTCGACAATATTTTATTAGCAAATATAAAAAAATATAGTTTTTAATATTGATCTTTATATATTTCTGAGATAAATTATTACATTATTTAATATTCGGACTATTGTCCTCATCTTTGTTGCCATATTTATCACAAAATTTTCGTATGCTACGCTCCGGCCTTCTTCAGGTGATTGGAATGTCAAACTGAACCTTTTATTTCGCTCACTGGGGTAGACTGTTCTAGTTCCACGTTTAATAAATGTCAGTTATCAGTTATCTCCTGTTAATTCCCCTCTGAAAGTTCTCCACTGCCTTGACTGGGTATTGAACTCGCACTCTTTGGGTCTTGTCACTGGATCTAACCAACACCTTTATCCACTTGAGGATATCTGTGTATTAATTTCTGGATATTATAAACCTAATGTCTTCAGCAACCATTTTTACCTGTGCTCATATTGCAATTTTTGCTGTTCTCATTACATGTTTTTTTTTTTTAGAGCTCATATTGCAATTTTCGTTGTTATTATCACTTTTCTCTGGCACTCCTTATTACTGGTTCCCATATTGTATTCATTTCTATGCTTGGTCGGCTCAGGAGATTTTTGTGGCCTAGTATATGTGCTGATTCCTTAAGTTTACAAATTTTCCAATGGTGTTCTTTGTCTATGATCTCAACCTGATCCCACAGAGAGGGCGGTGATCTCCTTTTCTCTCCATATGTGGTCAGCCACACCTGATTTTTCCACTTCCCCTCGTGTTACAGCTTTCTGGTGTTCTTGAAGCCTTACCTTAAGGGGGGTGGCCTGTCTCCCTTTTATATTTCTTTCCGCAGCTGCACGGGATAGCGTACACACAGTCTTTTAGTCATGTTCTCCTCTATGGGGGGGGTCTTACTCGGAGAGATATCTGCAAAGTGTCACGTCAAGCTTTTGAAGGTTGTCCTGATGTTATATGGACCGCAGATCCTTTGTATTTTCTCTGATAACCCCTTCACATAAGGCAGGCAGACTGTTTTCTGAGTGTTGTTGTTCCTCCTTCTTGTACCCGCCTATCCCAGTTTTTTGGGGCTGCTGCCATGTACCCAAGGTAGTTGTTACGTTGTAATATACTGACCAATTCTTTATCTACTGTCTCTGGGTCGACACTTATGACTTTTGCTCGGTGTTGTAAGCAACGGACGATCCCTTTCTTTATGCTGTATGGATGGTAGGAGTTGAAATTGAGGTACTGTCCAGTGAATGTCGGTTTACGGTATACGGATGTCTTGAACCCATACTCTGTTCGAGATATTAGAACATCCAGGAATGGGAGTGTGTTGTTACTCTCTTTCTCCATTGTGAACTGTATCGAAGGTCTTATTGAGTTCACATGGTCCAGTAGAACCTGAACATCTTCCTGGTGTGGCCATAGTATGAAGGTGTCATCTACGTACCTTAACCATATAGTTGGCTTTAGACATATAGATTCTAATGTCATTTCCTCAAAGTATTCTATGTATATATTCGCCATTGCTGGTGATAATGGTTATCCCATTGCTAAGCCCTCACCCTGTCAATATATGTGTGATCCCATTCCGTCGTTTGTGTACAGAAAGTCAACATCCATCATCAGATTTTGGAATTGGAATACTGATTCCTTTTTCTTTTTTGAGTCAGAGGCCAATCTGTCTCTGACTATTGAGAGTGCCTCCTCCGTGGGTACCTTGGTGAACAAAACTCACCACTGCAACTGGTTAAGGATACATATGTTGATTATTTTGCACATAAGTGATCCTTGTTCTTGATTAGTTTTTGGATCAATGTGACAGTTTGCGTTCCGTTTTCATTGTATTGTTCTTTTTTACTTTGCTGTAGCTACCATTGCTAATGAGGTCTTCTAGCTTTTTGTATAATCTGATTTTCCATCACTACAGTCGCATTGCCTTTGTCAGCCGGTAGTATGATGATGTTTTCATTCCTCTGTATTGCCAGCCTCTCCAGTTTCGTGATGTTAGACCTGGGTGGTTTGGCCTTCTCCAAGGTCTGTCTGACCTTCCATCTCAGTTCATCTGCCTGAGCCTAAGGGATGTTCAAGGCCACCTCTTCGACTCTGGCAATGATGTCCAAGTATGGCACTAGCCTGATGGTTTTGGTGAAGTTGAGACCCTTATTCAACACTGACTCCTCAGAGGCACTCAGCTGATATTGGCTGGTGTTGACTGCTGCTTTCACTGGTGGGTGATGGACCTTGTGCATCACCTTCTGATCTTTCAATCTGTTTAATTTTTGTACTTGGCGAGCCTTGGCTATATCGAATTCAGGTCTGAAGGATTTATCCAGGTCATTTTGCATCCTTCTCTGGTCTTCTTCATTGATAATTCTGTTGAAGAAATCCTCTAGCCTATGGGAGATATGAGCTTGTAGTCTCTGTTTTATCCAACGATTGTACTGGATTCCCTCTCGGACAAGGGCGTGTCTTGCTTTTTCTGCGACCAGACGGGCTCTCCTTGAATTGACGAGAAGTCTTGGTGCCAAGCCTGAAGGGATTAATTGTAAATCTCTGCATCGGTGTAGAAATGTCAGATGGTTCGATATTCATGCCAGTTTTTGGTAGGATTTTTCAATTTGTCTCCATATTTTCGGGTCCGTACCGTAAAGTCACATGATACGCGAATATATATGGTAACAGCAAAATTGTCCAAATCATGTAACAGAAAAATTGTCCAATGGTTAGATTAAGCTCTGAACTATTGTATCTTGAAATGATTAAAGATATTTTACTGGAATTCTCCAAGATTTTTTGACTCTATTTTGAAGAATGAGAATGTATTTAGCTCAAAGTTGAAATGATGATCCCACTTGCTGTTTTGACCTCCTCATCCATTTTTCTTCTCTACTGTTCTCTTGATGTTTCTTGAATGAACTTTGAAAATGGAAGTCAGAGTATGAATGCCTGGATGCTCTTTTTCTTCCCACCATTGCTCAGTTGGGAAGGTAGTGTAGGGCTGACACAAAATGATTTTAACCTGTTCTCTTTCTGGCTGAATACCTCAAAGGGTTTTTCAGTGATTCTTACGACAAATGGTATCAAGATGGCTAAACATCTTATCTGAAAACCTGGAAAAAAGAAAATTAGTTTAGTGGGTTTTTGTTTTTTAAATATTAATATTTTGTGGGCTGTAGAATTATCCTATGCTGTTAGACAATTTTGATGTTACACCCATGTGTATATATATATATATATATATATATATATATATATATATATATATATATTTTAATAAAAAACAGACCACTTTGAGGTTCCATGTAATAAATTATTTCACCACAGCCCTTTTAAAGGACTGCGGATCATCAGACTTTACTTCCAAAGGTTGAAACAAAAAATGAAAAGAAATTTACACATTTTTGACGGGCCATATTAAACATATGTAAATTAACGAAGTGAGGAAGTGAGTGGGGAGAGAGAAGACATGAGTCAGTTAGCAGACATTGACATATTTAAACGGTTAACATAATGGAAGTTATATATTGATACCGAAGGGGTAGAGGAGAAAAAACATAGAGAGAAAAAGAGAGAAGGAAGCCATGAGAGAAGGTGTCACTAATTTTCTTTGTAAAAAAATAAAAATAAAAAACGGGCTAGAAACAGACGCTGTTATTTCTTTTTACTTTGAAAGTGTTATTTTGGGGGTTCATAAAGATTATAATGTTTGATATAAATTTGAATGTCTCTAAACTGTCTACAAAGAATTTAATTTGATGTTTGTTAGTGATTTTAATTTTTTTTTTAATTTTGGGGATTTACTATGAAATAGTCGATTAGAAAAATCTTCATAGAAATTAAAAAAATAAAATTTTATTTTAAAATATAAGTTTACTTCTAGTACTCTTGTTTTTAATCTCTTTAAAAAAATTTTGTTATTGATTATTAAGTTAACATCTCTATCTGTTTGAATTTTGTTCATGAATTTAACTCGTGACTATTTCTAGATAGGTAATCTCTTTTATTTAAATTTTAATTAAGTTGATATGGGGTGGTTCCATGTAATAAATTATTTCACATTGAGCTCTCTGAATTTTATCCTCCTTGGGTTTGCCCAAACGGATTACCTAGTTTTTCATAAACCAACTAACTAACTAACTAACAATATATATATATATATATATATATATATATATATATATATATATATATATATATATTTCTTAATGTAAGGAAAACGAAAATAATATAAATTCTAACGTTTACAACATTAATTCAAAAGAGGGATAAATACCAAATATTGGCAATAATTATTTATTATACTTTTTACATACGAACAAAACAACTTACTCACTACAAAGATTCATTCTTGTTTCGATGTGCATGCATCTCGACTAGTGAGACTCAAGTCTCGCCAATATTTAAGTTGTATCCATTTTATATTGACAATTTAATGTAATCTAATATATATATATATATATATTATAATTTTTACTGGCGGACAAAACAACTTACTCTAGTACAAAGAGGCATTCTTGTTTCAATGCTCATGCATCTCGACTGGTGATATATATATATATATATATATTTTCTTTGTAGTGAGTAAATTGTTTTTCACGCCTGTAAAAAATATATATATATATATATATATATATATATATATATATATATATATATATATATATTAGATTAGATTATTGAATTGTCAATATAAAATTGACACAACTTGTAAAATTATAATATATATATATATATATATATATACGTGTGTGTGTGTATTAGATTAGTAGATTAGATTAGATTATTGCATTGTCAATATAAAATGGACACAGCTTGGCGCTGGTGTTTGTTTAGGCGTCGAATTCTGGTGCGTTTTAATTGCATAGTTCAGATACAAGTCAGACTTTGTTGAATGTTGATGTTTTGTCCACAAATGAATGCCTTGAAGATGGACGATAGAAAGTTATACTTTCGCCATATTATGCTCCATGAATTACGGAAAGGCGTAAGCGTCAGAACTGCGACAAAAAAGCATTCAGAAGGTTTATTTGGATTTGTTCTCCAGCTCTTTGGTTGGTCAAAAAGTTTTTGGCAGATATTCGTCAGGGTGATTTAGACTAAACGATCAACCACACCCCAGCCGACCTTCCGAAGTCGGTGAAGATGCTCTGCTTGCCACGGTTTCGACTGAAGAAATTGATAAGAGGTTGAAAATCGATATCTCAACTGATTTTGGCCATTTGAAGAAACTTGGGTTCGTTTCGAATCTTAACACGTGAATGCCACATCCTCTGGAGGAACAGGACAAGTTCGATCTTGATTCTCTGGCGATTTCTTTGTTGTTACACCACGAAAAGAAGCAGTTTTTAGACAGAATTGTCACAAGCGATGAAAAATGGATCGTATATAACATTCGACGTAAACGAAACTAGAAATAAGCTTGGGAAGGTGCAGTGTCCGTAGCTAAAGTAGGGCATCCTTCCAATGAAGGTGCAGTGTCCGTGGCTAAAGTGGGGCATCCTTCCAATGAAGGTGCAGTGTCCGTGGCTAAAGTGGGGCATCCTTCCAATAAAGGTGCAGTGTCCGTGGCTAAAGTGGGGCATCCTTCCAATAAAGGTGTTGTTGTCCGTTTGTTCGGATTGCGGATTAACAAATCACTTTGATCTTCTTCCAGCCGGCGAAACAATAACTGTAAAGTATTGCGACCAACTAATTAATCTCAATACGGCTATACAAGAAAAACGTTCGAGTATGGCAAAGCGAAAAGTGTCATTTTCCACCACGACAACAAAAGACTGCATATTGCAATACAGACATTGAAAAAGCGTTAACCCTTCAGCACCAACCGTATTCTCCTGACATGACCCCCTTCAGATTTTCATGCGTTCCGGTCTCTACACGACAATTTAAATCTCTACAGTCAGTTGAAAACTACCTCACAAAATTCTTCCAATCAAAAACACGAAGTTTCTACAAAGATTGCATCAACAAACTTGTCGAACGATGGGAGACAGTTGGTAAAAACAAAAGGAGATTATGGACATGACTAAGAAATGCTTTTTCGTGTATATGTAAAATTTTGTTTAATTTTTTAATCGTGCACGAAATTTTATACTTTTGCCATATTATGCTTCATGGATTACAGAAAGGAGTAAGCGTCGGAACAGCGACAAAAAAACATTCAGAATGTTTATTTGGATCGTGCTCCAGCTCTTTGGATAGTCAAAAAGGGTTTTTGGCTGATTCTGTCAGGGTGATTTTAACATAAACAATCAACCAAATGCAAGGGACATTCAGACGTTAATGAATCCGCCCTGCTTGTCGTCATGAAGAATAAACCTAAGATACCGACCAAAAAGATTCCTAAGAGTTTGAAAATCGATATCTTTCGCAATTTGAAGAGACTTCAGTTCATGAAAAACGGCTGAGTTTGGCCAATCGAAAAGGTGTCATTTTTCACCACGACAACGCAAGACTGCATTTAACAAAACAGATCTTGCAGAAGCTTAGAGTTGAAGTGGGAAACCTTCCATGACCCATCGTATTCTCCTGACTTTGTTCCTTTGGATTTTCATTTGTTCCAATCTCTACAGGACAATTTAAATGACGAAAAATTTGACTCTCTACAGTCAGTCGAAAACTACCTCAAAAGATTCTTCCAACCAAAACACGAAGTTTCTATGAAAATGGCATCAACAAACTTGTAAAACAATGGAAGACAGTTGTTAAAAACAATGGAGGCAACGTAATGAGCAATAAATGCTTTTTTATCAGTATATAAAATTTTGTTTTGAATTTTTTACAGCAGTGTTCCCTTTCTTTTTTCTATAAATATGTTCTTCTTAATCAATATCTCAAATGCCTTTCACCATTTGAAGAGACTTCGGTTCAAGAAAACCGGTCGAGTTTGGAAAATCGAAAAGGTGTCATTTTTCACCACTAATGCATTTTGCAAAACAGACATTGAAAAAGCGTAAAGAGTTGAAGTGGGAAATTCTTCAGCACCAACCGTATTCTTCTGACGTGGCCCCTTCAGATTTTCATGTGTTCCAGTCTCTACACAGTAATTTAAATGGCAAAAAATTCACTCTCTACAGTCAGTTGAAAACTACCTCACAAAATTCTTCCAATCAAAAACACGAAGTTTCTACGAAGATTGCACCAACAAACTTGTCGAACGATGGGAGACAGTTGGTAAAAACAAACGGAGATTATGGACATGACTAAGAAATGGTTTTTCGTGAAGATGTAAAATTTTGTTTTTAATTTTATAATTAGATTCGAACTTTTGTAATGATCTATAAATACGTGTGTGTATGTGCGTGTGTGCATAGATAGATAGATAGATAGATAGATAGATAGATAGATAGATAGATGAATCAACAATGCATGTTGATTGTTTCACGACTCAAGCGATTTTCAAACAGCGATCTTCAGACCATGTCTAACATTCACCCTTGCACCGAATATTGTTGCTTCATCTGGCCTGCTGATATTGTTTTATATCTAGAGATTCGTGATAAAATCTAAAGAGGAATTTGCAATATTTTTAGACCTGACCTGGTATCTCGGCTTCAGTCAATTCCCCACCGCCGTAACGCAATTTCTCTTTGCCTTTTCTATAAATATTTTCATGGTAATTATTCTTATGAGCTTTCTTCTTTGGTATAGGACTTCATATACATTCTTATGTCTTACGTTGTATATGGCAAGAGTGTTAAGTAAGATCGTGTTGCTTTGTTTGTAAGGAAAATTGTGGTATATTGGGTCAGTGATTGTGGCTGGCAAAGTTTAATTATGAGACAGAAGAAAAGAACATCTTTCTCAATCGCCCCTTTTGGCCTTGTACTAGATTTTTGCATTTTTTACAAAATAAATATCGCTTCCCTCTTTCGTATCTTGAATAAAGCGCAGTACAAGATTGGCAAATAAAAAAAAAGTATACTGTTAGATCCGATGTGCTTTTAACCGACTCGGCTGTGAAGAGTGCCGCCGATCAAGCAAGCTTGGATTTATTTTTCTTCAATAACATTTCTCAAATATTCCGGCCGGTAGACGAAAAAAAATAAACGAAGTGTCTACTCAAAGAAATAACATTATTGGTTTAGAAATATTAAAAAATATAGGGAGAGATTATTTCAGATTAAAAACTTCTCTGATTTGCTATTTATTTCCGTTTGAATTGTGGATTTAATCGAGAATCCCGATTACATTTTAAATAATCTTGCCGCTAGCCGCCTCAGATATTTGCTCGGTTATAGAAAATTGTATAGAAATTAAGCAAGAAATATTCTTAAATTATATTTACAACTGGAGTTTAAAATTATTTTCAATTGCCCTCCCCACCACCCCCCCCCTTTTCTTCTCTCTCTCTTTCTCTCTCTCTCTCTCTCTCTCTCTCTTTTATTTATAATAATAATAATAATATACCTAAATCTCATCAGGGGCAGTGCCACGTCCAACTGCCTGAATATCCAACGAGGTATCTCTCAAGGAGACTCTCTGTCGTCCCTTCCATTCTATCTGCCTTTGATCCCCATTATGCATAAACTAAACAATAATAACTATGGATACAAAATAAAAAAGTGTTTAATCACCTATTCTACATGGATGATATCAAAGTCTTTGCCAAAGACGACGATGACTTAAAGGGTCTCCTCAATACTGCAAAATGTTTCATTGATGGCATCCGTATGGATTTCGAATTCGATAAATGTACAAAATTAACATTCAAGAAAAGGAGAATTACAGAAACACATTCAATTGATCGAGATTTTGTCACAAAATTTAGACAACTGGAAGAAGAAGAAGAAGCTTATAAATATTTAGGTGTCAACGAAGAAAATGGAATACAACAGACCCAAATGAAGAAGAAAGTAAGAAAAGAATAATATAGGCGTGTGCTTCTGGTGTTAAATACAGAGTTGAATTCACAAAACAGAATTATCAACCATAAACACTTAGGATGTCCCTATGGTGCAATACAATTTCAACATCCATAATTGGACCGTAGGTGACATTAAGCGAACGGCTATCAAAACGAGAAAGCTTCTCACTTGCCATCGCATGCATCATTTCCAAGGTTGATATTAATCGTCTGTATGCGTCCAGATCCGAAGAAGACAGAGGATTAGTTCAACTAGAACTGTCTTATAAAACCACAACACTTGGTTTTCAAATATACCTGGAAACTACAGAAGACTGGATAGTGATCTATGTCAAAGAACATGAAAGAAATAAGAAACTTTATTCAGTAATAAAGGAAGCCAACAAATTCAAAAGGGAATTTCAAGTGAATGAAGAAATGCAAATAAACCATAATGTGCCTACTGCAGCGGCAAAAAACTTAAAAACGAAAGCAAAAGCAAATGCAATTGACCAAATGCAGAAACCATTTCAAGATAAGCCTCTTCAAGGTCATTACTCTGCCCGTACCAATCAAGGTGATGTAGACAAACTCTGTACCCATGAGTGGTTACGTAGTGCAGGGCTAAAAGCCGAAACTGAATTTATTTATTACAACTCGAACACAAGAAAAATGAAATAAAAAGCTTAACCGTAATACCTCACTGTCTGTTTTGATGAAACATGCATAAATGAAGGATTACTACCTAAATACACAAGTATATATATATATATATATATATATATATATATATATATATATATATATATATATATAATATTAGTGGTTATTTATACACATACATATGCAAAATATATAAATATATATACATAGATGCATACACATACATATATATTTTTTGAATAAAAAATTCCAAGAGGATAGAATCCAGGTAGAACTCAATGTCCAGGACAGAGTAAGGATATAATAAAAAGGCTTAAACACTAATATTCCATGGTCATAATTTATTCCATTGGAATCGTAAATACGATCCAATTCATCAGACCTACAAATTCAAAACAAAAACAGAAAAAACAACTCCGGAAATAAAAATAGAATTTAGAGAGAGTGTAAGTATGAGAGTGTGGAATGAATGTTAGAGCTAAAGAGAGGGGTAACAGATGAGAGAAGGTGGGAGATTAAAACTTAACAGAGAGAAGTTTTAGAGATGTGAGTTGAAGACGGTTTACGTGAGATAAATATGAATGTTGTCGGGTGTCTAATACATTAAAGATGTAACCGGAAAGGATACATTTTGTTGTGACATACACACACAGCATATATATATATATATATATATATATATATATATATATATATATATATATCTGATCATATAAGTATCATGAACTAAAGAGTTAGCAGAGATTAAGCTTGAACACTGTCTTCATCTCATCATACTACAGAGATTCCATCAATGACCATGACTTGTGCCGCAGATTTTAGCCACTCACATAACATACCCCGGGTCCGACAAGCACCACCTTCAGCAGAATTGGTCTCTTTACGACATTTTTCTCTTCAAAAATTAAATTCCACTTGAAAGGAACAAGATTTTAAGACATAGAGACAATCCAATGCAATGCGATGAAAATGCTGGATAAAGTGTGTGGCTTCAGACGCGAACTACTTCGAAGGAGATTACATGCCGAATTGATATATATGTTAGTTTTCTTTTTCTCGCAACAGTCCTGATACTTTTTGATCCAATGTCGTAAGACTGTATTTGTTAATAGCCCTGTAAAATTTGGGATTTTTGTTATATCTTCATTAAATGAATTTCTGTCTATCTTTCTGTAACTATCTACAATAACTGTCAACAGATGACCCAGCAATGACTCGATTCAAAGGCTTCAATACCTGGCCACTTGGAGCGTTGAGTTTGTAAAGGGAAATAACTGAAACTGAGATATCTAGAAAAGACATGGTACGTGGAACTAGAACAATCTACCCCGGTGGATGAAATAAATGGTTCGATTCGAAATTCCTGTTAACTGAAGAAGGCCGGAGCGTACAACGGCCGAAACATCGTGAATATGACATTGAAGATGAGAACAGCAGTTCGAATAATATTAATAAATTAAAGATGAATTTTTTTCCAAATTGATAGCAGAAAGATGAAAGAAAGAAGAAATGTGGCGAAAACTAAATGTTCTTGTCGTATTCTTTGCAATTTGATCGCAAAATCAGACATGCTGGGAATGATTTATACAGACATTTTACAGAATGGAATTGAACATTACAGGAAGGGACTGGAGTTGTCTCCCTTACAACAGAGTTTGCCATTTCCTGTTAAATGAATTGAAATAAGTTTAGTACACTAGTATGGTATCGCGTGTTTCAGACTTGAATCAAAATAGATGCGAGGATTTTTCAGTTGTCGTCTTTTCTTCTAAGAAGAAAATCAGTCGCAAGGATTAAGATTAAAGAATTTAGTGTGTGGCTTCAGAAGGGGACTACTTCAAAGGAGATTAAATGCCGAATTTATATATGTCGTAGTTTTATTTTTATAGCTCCAGTTCCGATACTTTTTGATCAGACCTCGTGTATATATATTTATATATATTCAAGAGGGCTTTTGAGTGATGGCCTGTTCAAATATATATATATATATATATATATATATATATATATATATTATAAATTAATTGATTTAAAATATGTTTTTTTTTCCGTTATCGAGACACCGGATTATATATCGTACTGTTCTTTTTTTTTATTTATATACATATATATATATATATATCAGCTGTCAATATATATATATATATATATATATATATATATATATATATATATATATATATATATTTATGATCAGCTTCAATATACCACATAATACAATTGAGCGTTTGAGACTTGGGCATAGAATGGAGATCAACGTGTTTTAGTGGGCTCAGCAGTTTTCCATTTGCTTGTCTGAATCATCTTCAAGAAGCGAGAGCAAGATCTAAAAGGTCAGCCAATCTAATAGTGATCTCATCTCACAATCCTCATTCTTGCTTCATATGTGGCCTTCTTTGTAAATCACTAGCGGGTCTTAAGTGCCACTTAAGATTATTGCACAAAATGTTAAAACTGAATGAAGTTGTTAGATCCTCATATGTCGAAACCGACAGAACCACATTATATATATATATATATATATATATGGGAGGAAATTTGTGTGTGTGTGTGTGTGTGTGTGTGTTTACTTATAAAACCAGTGAATTTTTACGTCCTTTCATTTTGACCATGAATGCCCGGGTTTGGATCTCACCGTGGTTGATGTTATCGGACTGGAGGGGTCGATCCCAATGTACGGCACCTTTGGAAAGTGCTATACAAGCCTTGTGAGTGAAATTGGGTAGACGACAAGTCACAAGTCATCAAGTTATCGTGGCCGAGGACTTGAGCGTGCTGGTCTTGTTTAAATTGTTGATCACGTTAGATAACACGCCCTAAGTTCTGCTCAGCATAGTTGCAATATAAACCACAAGTGGGCTCTTTGGGTGTTGAATAAACACAAATACGCCTGAGCGAGCGTCTGCAATAGGGATTGGCTAGACGCCCTAGTAGACGTGTATACATATATACATCATTAAGCATAGACACAATATTTATTTATTTCGTTTTTTGATCTGATAAAGCTTAGAAAGTATTTAAATCCTAATTTCAATGAAATGGTTTGTCAGATTTCTTCAAAACTTTGTATGAATTCTATATTCTATTTTGAGCACATATTGACGACATAAAAAAACATGGACAGATCTTAAAACATATAAATGTTTGACTTTCGAACGATCCTAAAGAATTGGATAGGGATTTATGCTTAATTAATTTCAGAAAAGGCGATATGAATCTTTTGCTTTCAAGTCAGTCTGAAAAGAAGATGAGAAATTAACTCAAATTTAATACAGAATAGCTGACAGAATATATTAACATTCGCCATGAAGTTAGGAATTATAAATAGAATATGCAGAATAGGGTACCTATGCATATAGTGTATCCCTAAAATGGTACTGGTAATATTAGCAGTTTCCTTATAGGAAAATATTCATCATACACTGACCAAGCAGCCAGTCCTTTTCCAGTTGCGTTTTTTTTTCATTCTCTGGGAATCGGGTTGGGATCAAAGTGTAGTAGCTGTTCTTCCTATTTCCTTGGTAATGTTAATATTAGCAGATTCATTATGAGGAAACATTCGTCATTCATTGATCGAGCAGCCAGTGTTATTCAAGTTTCGTTGTTTTTGGGGTTTTTTGGGGTTTTTTTTTTACTCTCTGGGTATTAGGTTGGGATCAAAGTGTAGTAGCTGTTCTCCCTATCTCTGATGGTAATGGCAGTATAAGAAAATATTCGGCATTTATTGACCGAGCAGCCACATTTGCTGTCGGGTGAAATTTATAAAATCTTTCTCTTAAAACAATCTTTCAGAAAACAGGTTTTTCTCAAAACCAATTTTATCATTCTTTCCCGTATTGATAGGTTTCCTTCCTCACCTTTTGTTCGAAGTAGTGTGGAAGATCAACATTATTTTTAGAGTTACACAAGCTATCCCATTTAGCTGTTGCTCCTGTTGAAAGTCCTCAACTGATGCAGTTTTTGTTATTTGGAGTAATGAATAGCGATCGGATTGAGGAATCTGAGAGCTGAGTTCGAACTCCAGTCAGATCTATTACATTCACTAATACCCTTGGGAAAGGTATGAATCCTCTTCTCCCCACCCACCACTCCAGCTATGGATAAATAGCAGGACAGACTGGGTTCTATAGTCTTAGATGGCAACTGGTCTACCGCAGAAAGAAATGGCAACCTACTCCGGTAAAAAAAATCTGCCTCGTCAGTCATGTATCGAAAGCTACATGATCGCCTAAGCGTGTATCACGTATGGCACTTAACTGACTGAAATTCACTTACGTGCTAATACTCTTGGGAAAGGTATGAATCCTCTTCTTCTCCCCTCAGCTATGGGTAAATAGCAGGACAAATCTGGTTCTATAGCCTTGAATGGCAACTGGTCTACCGCAGAAAGAAATGGCAACCTACTGCAGGGAAAAAATCTGCAAAATCAAAAATGTACCGAAAGATACATGATCGTCTAAGCGTGTATCATGCATGGCACATAACTGACTGACCCTCTGTGATTTATTAAGGCCATTCTACGATGTTCGTAGAAGGATTGTCCTCGCTAAGACTTTCATGGTTCATTCGCGCGAATTCATTTTTAATCATTTTTCTGAAAAAGTTGTTGTACAAAGCTGACAGTTTAGATATTTCTGTACGGATTTGGTGCCATACCATCCATATGAAGGTCTCCACCCGACGAGCTTATTTAAGGACATAAATGCGGGTTAGATAACATTACTTGAAGCGCAGTTTATTCTACGTAAAAGCCAAAAAAAATTGCCAATCAACGTTATATATACTGGATTTAGTAGACATAACGTTTAAATAACTGAGCGTAGAATAGATATATGAAGATTATGTAACGCCAACACCCTACACATACAAAATCATATATTCGGATGTCCGTATCTGGTGCTTCTAGGGAAAACGCCCGTCCTGGGTAAGACGATAAACTACGTCCGCGTGCTGGGTAAGACGATAAACTACATCCGCGTCCTGGGTAAGACGATAAACTACGTCCGCGTCCAGGGTAAGACGATAAACTAAGTTAAATTAAGTTCAACGTACAAAACGTTAGGAACTTGAAAATAATAGTTAATGACGCAGCAATCTAGTTGTGGTGTTTGATACTTCAATGTCCGACATCGACTGACTCACCAACTCACTCTGAGCTCCCTGGCGGCTGCTACTACTACTACTTATTATCTGTGGGAGAGTCTATTAACAATAGAATAGGTATGTTCCGGTATAACAATATATATATATATATATATATATATATATATATATATATATATATATATATATATATATATATATATATCATTAGGGTCACACGCAAACAAATAAACGAATATACATTATCATTCGAATCCCGCATACAGATCGTTCTGGGTATGACATTAAGCTACATCCGCCTCCTGGGTAAGACGATAAACTATGTCCAGCAGCAAGGCCTCTGATCAGTAGGTTTTGAGAAGTGTGGAACCACCTCTTAATTACTGGTGTTCCCAGGTCCACCCAGACCCGTGGTGGTAGCACCTGTTAGAGTCTCAGCTATGGGCAAATAGTTAACCCCGAAACTGAGGTAAAATGCATTATAAAACTGTAAAAATAGGTTTTAATACCAGAAATACGTTGTAAAAAATTATTACCGGAAATAAATTTTTGAAGAAAAAAAACTATTACCAGCAATACATTTTTGAATAAATAAAATATTACCAGCAATACGTTTTTCAAAATAATATTACCAGTTATACATTTTTCAGGAAAAAAGTATTACCAGAAATAGATTTTTGACAAAACAAAATATTACCAGGAAAAAAAATTATCGCCATTAAATGACCCATTGTGGTTGATATGCCGTAAAACAAAACCAACCAAATCTAGGGATAACGCAACTACCTCGACCACATAGTGATTAGATTTATAGACTTCTGTGTATCCAAGTCATATAGCATTTTCATGACAACGACTCTCATCTGCCAACCTTGAGTGTCTCCAGTAGAACCGAACTAGGCAACTACCAACAAGACCACATCGTTCCGACACGTGGATATCTTATTCGATTTGTGCAAGTGACTGATTTAATGAAAGAATGAATGAAAAAACGAACGAATAAACAAATAAATTCAATTGATGAAAAGAACTGAGAATAGCCACTTAAGGAAATAATGATCCCTTCAACGGAAATCAAAAATCCGATCATTTTATAACATCTCCAGTTACTTAAAGCTTGTATATTACAGGGGTTTGCTAGGACGGTAACAAATAAATTATATATCTCCTTCTTCTTCTTCTCTTCCTCCTCTTCTTCTTCATGCGATCATGGCTCTCCACAATTTCTTGCCCTTTGCAGCTCTTAATAAATCCTTTTGTTATCTCTCCTCATTCTTCTTCTACATGCCGTTCCCCTTCAGAACGTTGGCGATCATGGCTCTCCACAATTTCCTGCCCTTTGTAGCTCTTAATAAATTTTGTCTTTTTAAACCTTGTCCCGCCATCCATTTACTCAAGCTCATTCTTCTTCCTCTATGTGCCGCCTCCCTTCATGGCGTAGCCGTTCATGGCTCTCCACAATTTCCTGCCCTTTGTAGCTCTTAATAAATCTTGTCTCTTTTTCTTATCTCTCCTAAACCTTCCTTCTTCCACTCAAAAATTTACTGAAGCTCACTAGGTAGGATATGAGTCATCTTCCTCTGTAACTTTTGCCTTCTGACTTGTGAGTATCAGATTTTCCAAGCCCTTTTTCCTCATTATGCGCCTTAGAAATTTCTTAGAAGGTCACCTCTCCTTCTTACGCATGTGCAATTACATTAACGTAAACATTATTTTAGTCCAATGAAATCCAAAGGGACAAAAGGCGTCACATGAAAATGTTTTCTACTTTATTATAGATTTGCCTAAAAATATGTAAGGATATTGTGAAAATGCAATTATTTTTCAGATAGATTATTTATTTATTAACATAATCTCATACATCAGCGAATTAAATCCTTGTAAAGTTAAACAAATAAACCAAATATTATGCATTAAATATTTCAGATCCAAATCCATTTTAATGTCTGCGCGTTAATCCAAGGATAAAATCTACAATGGATTTACAATCGAATTTTAAACGAGCATAAAGGATTAAATATAACTTAATGGATAATATGCAGAGTAAAATTATGTCGCACTTAGAAATAAAGAGAGAAAGAAAGAAAGAATCTAAGACGGAAAGAAAAAGAAAGAAAGACTAAAAAGAAAGCCAGAAAGAAAAGGAAAGAAAATGAGCAAAACAAATAAAGAAACTTGGATAGAAAGAAGAAAAGAGAAAGATCAAGGAAGGAAGGAATGAGTTGTTCTTATAGATAGATAGATAGATAGATAGATAGATAGATAGATAGATAGATAGATAATAAAAAGATTGAGATAGATAGATAATGAAAAGATTGAGATAGATAGATAGATAGATAGATAGATAGATAGATAGATAGATAGATAAAAAGATTGAAATAGATAGATAGATATGAACAGACTGAGAAAGAAACAAACAAACAAAGAATATGCCACGTTAAAAACAGTCGTCACAAACTAACGTGTTTAAGAAAAACACATTTTGTCATAACTTCACACCTTTTAAGAAAATATGATTTATTAAAATGAATCAAAATTCGTGTCCACTGATGAGGGGATTTCATAATTCTCGAAACTGTGTGCAGATAAAAATTTATTATTATCATTATTATCATCATCATCATCATCATCATCATCATTATTATTATTATTATTATTATTGTTATATAGACAGAGAAAGAGAGAAAGAAGGAAAGAAAGAAAGGTGTGTGTGTGTGTGTGGAAGAGAAAGAAATAAAATGTACCTTGAAATGGCACATGGACAGTCAGGATCGGACCCAATATAAGTGGTCCGAGATATGAAACCTGCCATCCAT